TCTATATGTTGGCTTGAGTTTTCATATCATATTCATATTAGAGTCATATTGCTCTATAGTTTTCTATTTTTATGTATAATTTTCAGTCACTTCAGTTCTTTTGTGTATGTGGGATTTATGTGTATGTGTGATGTATAGTACACATGTGTGCACATATGTTTGTAGTGTGTATACATATGTTTACTCATGCCTGTGGAGGCCCAAAGTTGATATCAGGTATTTTGTATCACTCCCTATCATAACTTGTTGAGACAGAGTCTGTCCCTGAGTCCACAGCTTACTGGTTGGCTGGGTAGAGAGTTCTAGGGTCCACTTGTCTCTGATTCCCCAGCATCAGAGCTACAGACATGCATTACAATGTCAGGTTTTACATAGGTGTCAGGGATTTAAACTCAGGTCCTGATGCTGTGTAGCAGGCACTTTCCTGACTGACTCCTGTCCCAAGCCCCTCATTATGACATTTCCATATATGTGTGCAATATACTTTTCCCCACAATATATAGTCACCCCACAACCCCCTCTTGTCCTCTCTCAGTCTCACTGATCTTTGTCTAACTAGTTTACCTTCTACTTTTGTTTTGTTGGACATCGGGTCTCCAACTGGACTCCTTACTGGAGCATAAGTGAGGAGCTACAGGAGCACAGACAACTGACCATCAATTACACCACAGGAGAAAATGTCTTGCCTCACCCTGGAAACCATAAAACTGTATATAGATCCTCAGGGCCTCATGTGTCCCCTCCCTGCTAAGTTCATCTGTTTTTCGGTCACTTTGTTTATCTGTCTTTGAAAGCATTTTCTGTTTCATTAGTGGCTGGATTCCCTTCATTTTTTGTTTGAGTTTATTAGAACCAAAATTACATATTGTTTTACAATTAAATAATGCCATTGCCCACATACATTAAGACTACATTACATTTGCTAATTTTTTTTGAGCTTTAATATTCCTGATACCAGCTTTTCTCTTGTAAAGTGAAATTTTCAAACACTTGCCTTGTTGAAAAAAAAAAGTCCTAGATTTTACCGTGTTTAAAGTTATTTACTTTGTCTTTTATTATTTTTTTCATTTGATTTGTTATACTTGGTAGAGGATAGTGTTCAGCTTCTCTATATAATATTATATATAACACATATTGTTGTGGAATAATCTTTTTGTACACTGTGAACATTTGTCATTCGGATTGGTTTAATAAAAAGCTGAACAGGTAATAGCTAGGTGGGATTTTCAGCATAGAGAGGATGCTGGGAAGAAGAGGAGAGGTGGAGTCATGAGGAGACGCCATGAGATGCAGAGAAAGCAGGATGTGCATGAGGAGAGGTTACAAGCCATAAGCCATGCAACAGTACATACATTAATAGAAACGGGTGAATTTAAGTTACAAGAACTAATTAGAAACAAGTCTAAGCTATCAGCTAAGCTTTCATAATTAATAAGAAGTCTCCATGTGTTTTGTTGTTGTTGTTGTTGTTGTTTTTTATGGGTGGGGAGCTGGCCTGGAGAGACAGAAAAATCCACCTACAACATATATGTTATAAATAGTATATATCCTTTTGTTTCAGGTGTATCTTTTAAGAAACATCTAACCTGTAACCAGCTGCCTTCCTGCTGTATCCTTTCAAGGCTGTTCCTCTGTGTGTGTGTTCTTGTGTCTCTTCCTCTTTGTATAAGGACATGGGTTTGATGGACTCAAACCACCAGAAACCAGCCCTGTGAAGACTTTGATTTTGGGTTCTGGCCTCCCAAAGGGCTGGAAACACACTTCAGCTTTTTTTTTTTTTTTAAATACTTTATTTAACTTTATTTTATGTGCATTGGTGTAAGGATACCAGATCCCCTGGAACTGGAGTTACAGACAGGAATGAGCTGCCATGTGGGTGCCGGAAATAGAACCCGGGTCCTCTTGAAGAGCAGCCACTGCTTTTATCCACTGAGCCAGCTCTCCAGCCCCCACACTTCAGTTTTTAAACCACCAGTGTGGAACTGACATGGTTTTGTGGGCAGCCTATGTCTAGAACCCTCTGGAGACAGAGGTGGGACTATGAGTTCATGGTCAACCTGAACTACACAGAAAGCCCTTATCTCAGAAAAACAAACAAACAAACAAACAAAAAAACCCAAAGGTTGGGAGTAGCTCAGTGGTAGGGCGGCGCTCACCCTGCTGGGCATAGCTCAGTGCTAGGACACTTGCCTTACATGTGCAAGGCCCTGAGCTTAGTGCTCAGAGGGAAACCAAACCAACCCAAAACATCCCCTCCCAGCTTGCCACTCTGATTCATTGTTACATCCAGGCTAACACATCTTTACATATGAGATTCTGTACTCAGTATTTTTCACAGTGACTTGTAGCTTTTGAAGAGTAACACTGTGCAAGTAAGTGTCTGGTGAGGATGTGGGAAGGATTTACCTTTTTTTTTTTTTTTTAAATCAGTGTTTGGACATAAATGAATGGCAGCCTCTGTCTTTGGATTCACTGAGCCATGGGGGGAAAAGCATTTCATTTCTTCCAGCCATTTTTAAAAATGACTCATTTTAATATTGTGTGTGTGTGTGTGTGTGTGTGTGTGTGTGTGTGTGTGTGTGTGTGTGTATGCAACTGAGTGCAGGCATCCAAGGAAACTGTTGTATTTCCTTGAAGTTGGAGTGATAGACAGTCCTGGGCCACCTGGCATGGGTGGGACCCTAACTGAGAGTCCTCTGCAAGACAGTGGCTTATGAATGCGGACCATCACCAAAGTACGACCCTCTCTCCCTCCCTCCCTCTTGGTTTTTCAAGACAGGATTTCTCTGTGTAGCTTTTTAGACCAGGTGGATCTCGAATTCACAGAGATCTGCCTACCTCTGCCTCTCCAGGGCTGGGATTAAAAGCATGCGACACCACCGCCCAGCTTGCCCTCTCTCTCTCTCTCTCTCTCTCTCTCTCTCTCTCTCTCTCTACAGGAGAAAACTAGATAGATTTTCCTCAGCCCAGCTTCACCAGAGTAATAAGCAGGAGAGAGATTCCCTCCATCCCGCCTAATGCCAGCAACAGAATACTATTGTTAGTTTTTAAAAAATATTTTTATTATACCTGAGAGAGAGAGAGAGAGAGAGAGAGAGAGAGAGAGACAGAGTTTTGTGTGTAGGTGCCCCCAGCATGCTGCCTTCTGAAGTTGGTTCTCTCTTATTACATGTGGGTCCTGATGATTGGCTGGCAGGAAGAAGAGCCTTTACCTACTTAGCCATTTCACTAGTTTTTGTTACAGTGTGTTTTTAATTTTTCATGTTTTTTAACCCTTCCATAAGGTTATGGTAAGAATTTGTAAAGAAATTTCTACCTTTGATTTTTATAGAAGATGTCAATTCCGGCATTCAAGAAACCGCAAAAGACAGCTTGATACTTGAAGGGTCGCTAAAGAGAATACAACTGAGGAAGAGTGGGAGATGCTCAGAAAGACAACTTCTGTCTCTTTTGAGATTATATATTTGCTGTCATATTGGGGGCATCACTCATGAAGTACCCCAGTGGATTCCCTGAAAGCAGGACAATACCATAATGTTCCTAGCTGGGCTCTTAAGGGGGAACAAATAAGTGAGGAGACCTAATTATCGTAGCAGCACTGACTGGAACTAATGTAGGTACAGCTAGAAAGGACGGCAGAGATTCTATTTATCTTATATTTTTGTTCACATGTGTTTGTGCACCTGCATGAGTTTATGTGCACCACATGCCTGCAGGTGTCTGTGGAGGCCAAAGGATGTCAGATCCCCTTGGTGTAATCAGACTTTTTTTTGGCAGGACCGTTGGCTCCCGAATAATGACGTGGAGACTTATTAATTATGAAAGCTTAGCCAATAGCTTACATTTGTTTCTAACTAGCTCTTATAACTTAAATTAACTCATTTCTTTCTTTCTTTTTCTTTTTTTTTCTTTCTTTCTTTTTTTTTTTTTTTTTTTTCTTTTCGAGACAGGGTTTCTCTGTATTGTTTTGGAGCCTGTCCTGGAACTCTCTCGGTAGAGCAGGCTGGCTTTGAACTCACAGAGATCCATCCACCTGCCTCTGCCTCCCAAATGCTGGGATTAAAGGCATGCGCCACCAACGCCCAGCCAAATTAACCCATTTCTATTCATCTATGTACTGCCACATGACTTGTGGCTTTTACCTCTCCTCCTGTTTGTCTGTTCCCTCTGTGTCCACTGGTGACTCCATGTTTTTCTTCCCAGCTTTCTCTCTGCCTGGGAATCTTGCTCCACTATTGGCTGTTTAGCTTTTTTATTAAACCACTCAGAGTGACACACGTTCATTCACAATGTACAAAAAGATTATTCCACAACAAAGTGGACCTGGAGTTAGAGGCAGTGAGAGCTGCCTGAGGTGGGTGCTGGTCACTGAACCTTGGTTCTGTGAAAGAATAGCTCTCAACTGCTTATCTATCTCTCCAGTCCCTGTTTGTTTGAGGCAGGGTCTCTCTATGTAATCCTGGTCTGTCTTGAACTTACTCTAGCTCAGGTTAGCCTTGAACTCATAAATCCTCCTGCCTCAGCTGGTGCAACTGTACATTCCCTGTCCCATGCCCTTCATTCATTTGCTGATGGCATTCTAGGGTTGTCATTACAAGTTTGGTACCATGTTTAGTGCTCTGGTGCCATACCAAAGCAGATAACCAACCTGTCCTTTCTGTGGAGTTTCCAGTGAGGTCTTCAAGGCTGTGGGTGTACCAAGGAAAGTGTGTTTATGTACTGGGTAGTACTTGGGGTGTGTAGGCTTGGCTTCCAGATAGGGAAGCACTCTCTAACATCTGGACTTGCTCCTCAGCAGGACAGTCTTACTTTAGACTCTGCCACTTGGATAGGTTTAAGTTGAGGCTGTTAAGGTACCACGGATGAAGTCTCAGGACAAAGTGGAAAGGGACTATTTAGACAATCTTCCTGGGTGCAGTGATTTTATATCAAGTTAGTGTCTTCAAGCAGTAAAACAAAATCATGCTTCTCATGCTCACCTCCAAGACCAGCAAACTTACCGTGCAACGCGGCTGCATCCAGGGCTCTCCATCTACTTGCATTGGCAGAAGCTTGTTAGTCCTGGAACCCCCCCAAAGCAAAAAACAACAGTGAGGCCCTCAGACTTGGAAAGTCATCATCACTCCCACCAAAGAGAGAGAGAGTGGGAAGACCTCACTTGCTCACATAGGAGAGGTTCATCGAGACCAAAGAAACTTTCTGAAAACAATCTTCAGTCTATCTCAGGGACTGGACTTGGCAGGTCTGGATGCAGGCCTAGGAATCTGTGCTTTAATAGTTATTATAGGAATTTCCCCGGCTTCAGTCTTCATATTCCACTTTGAGAAACTGTCATGGGCACACTGAAAGCCACGTCACCTGGAAAACTGGCCAGCAAACATGGCAGCCCCACTGCTGAGCAGTCCCAGCAACCAGCCAGAGGGGAAAGCGGCTCATGCTGAGCTCTGCTCTGGAGTAGGAAGAGGCCTGCACTCCTGACTGAATGAGTGGTTGCAACATACCCAAGAGGTAATGTCTCTAAGCTACAGAGCTCATCACCACAAGCACTCAACTCCAAAAGGCAGGAGGATACTATGGTTTAGTATTCATTGTGGCTGTGCTGGGACAGTGTCATCCAGGGACAGTCTAAATGTAGGAGGAGAAGTGAAGAGAAAGTGCTGCCCTCTTGCTTTTTTTTTTTTTGCATATGGGCTTTGTAGACTCTAACTTGTCCTCCGATACCTTGGGAGGAAGTTAGTCCTCTGGCCAGGGGCATGTGAACAGTCACCACCCACTGGACAGGAAGTCCTTACCTGAGCTTGGTAGCTTCCCTATTTCTGAAACTACAAAATGGGAGGGAAAGTACGATTTTGATACAATAATCCTCTGGTGGACTCTGAGTCTATTTCATACTAAAAGCAATAAATCTAATAATAAAAAAAACATATCAGCAGAAAGGAGGCCTTTGCATACTTAGGGATAGAGAAGTATCTCAGGACTGCCTACTGGGATGGGGCTTTTAGCTCACCCCTGCTCCCATCTGGAAATAGATCTGGTGACTACTGGAAAAAGCCCCCCCCCCATACTCAAGTTCTCAGACTCACTGGCAGTCAGGACACTGTGTTCTCTGTAATCTACAAAAGCCACAGCTGTGATATTCTACTGACAAACTGGCCCCATAAGTATTAGAGCTCTGGGCAAGGGCTGCCGAGGCTGGTCTGGAAAACAAGGGTCCTATCACAGTGATGGCTCCCAAAGAAAGGGGGTATGGTGTTAGGAACAGAAGAAACAGATGATCCATAGATAGGAAATGACAAAGGGTTAGTGGAACAGACCCTCGGGGGCCCACAGGAGGGATCTGACTGAGGGATTATGGAAGGGCCAAGAACAGATTCCTCAACTGTGCTCCTGCTGACACTTGCCCAAGGGTTTCTGGGAGAAAGCCTTCTTTAGTCAAATGCCTCTGGGAAACCCTTTAACCCATAGCCCTTCTAGGAGATTCCCCAAGGCAAACCAACAGATATGATCTGTAACAAGAGAGAAAAAGGAAAGGAATGAAGACATCTGAAACAGCCATGTTGGGTAAGAAGCTGAGAGGAAAAATGTAACTAGAGGGAGCTGAATTGGAGAAGCCTTATCAGACCCCACAGCATCTACACCTGCAGAAGCTGCCTGTGTCATCCATGTCCCTCCAAAAAACCAAAACTGCTACCCTCTTGGTCAGTACAGGAAGTTCATTGTTGTTAATGGTTGAGCATATGAAGGTATCCTGTACACAGAAGAGCAGTTGTGACCCCTGACATACATCTAATGCTTTACAATTATAAAGAGAAAAGGACAAAAGAATTAGACCCCAGGTGCCCTGGACTTTATAGTATGTGCTGTTTATATCACCAGGTATTTTAAGAGGATAGGTTATGATGGACCTTCTAGCTGATGATAGCATTATATCCTGTTGAAAAATAATAGCCCCGACACAACTCCTCCACCTGAGGCTCAGGGGTCACAGCAGGAGAAGAGGCAGAACAATTTTAAGAGAGAGGCAGGGAGTTTGCTGTGGAGATCATGTCTCTTGGAAATGACAGAGAAGCTGCAGCCATGAAACATCACCAACTGGCTGCCTAAATATGACTAAAACAAGGATGACACCAACAGACGTGCTGTCATGGATGGGGGTGGGAAAAGGAAGGGGGAAACTCATGGGGTATCAAGCCTACACCAAGAACTGCAGGCAAGGAATGCTAAGAGCAGGAGAAATTGTCCCCTATGGAAGGGCACACTGAGTGGTTATTCAGTACCAAGTGGTCATCCCTGAAATCATATACATACAAATAGCCATAAGGCCTGAGCAGATATTTGGGGAAAATACATATATAGTATATATAATATAGCCAAAGTATTCTTTATAAATATTGTCAAGCTTCTTTCACCAATTTGCAGTAGCTCCTAGTTAGTTTATTATTTGCCTGAGTGTTCAAGGAGGTAGGGAGCCCCTGAAGATGCTGGGTGACAGGAGACTTACCTAATAATGACAGAGGAGCACTGGGCCAGCCTCCTACCCGCACTCTTCAAGCCAGTATAGATCTGTCCCATTTCCATGGCTCCTTCTAGACCCACCACTTCAAGGAGCTGGTCGCTGAGGTCTGCAGAGTGAAAACAAAGACTGTGCACACTCTTCTCTTTTACTCAGCATAGTCTGTCCAGAAGTGCTGGTCCCTTGGTGGCCAACCTGGTCTATCTGTCATCTTCCACCAAGAGTGTTTTCATTTACCGAACCAGACATTTTCCTCAAAAAAGAAATAGATGCACCTTTTCGTGAGTGGAAGCCAAGTTATAGGTTTTTGTTTTTGTTTTTTTAAGCTTTGATTTAGATGATTAATATGTCTCCAGTGAATAGGCTGACATCAAGAAGCTTCTTCAAATATAGACTATCATAAGTGACAAACCAGCTGTTTCTGAAATACACTCACCTAGCTGCTAGAGACATATTGGTTTGGGCCTAGGATAAGAAGGAATGTTGATGAGTCTATAACTATTCTTAATATCAGAGCAACATGTTGGCTCTGCTAACGATGACTGACGGTTGGTTAGCCTCCAATTTGGCCTGTGCTTAGCTGCTAGTGAGCCATCCTCCATGGACATCCTAAGGAAGGTTGGGAGCCTTCTTCAGCACACCCCATGCCTAAGTCAGGCAAAGGAGAAGAGTATTTCACCTGCATCAGACCACCGTGGCTCACTGTGGAAAAGGAGGTAGAAAAACTCGAATCCCAGGCTTTGTATCACAGCACCAATGGCCTGGAATGGTGGCAATGGCTTTCTGATTCCCAGCTTGGGAGGAGTGATCCATGTTGCTTGGATGTGTGCCTCCATTTTCCACTGTGAGAGTGATGGCAGGGGTAATGTTGGGTACTGGGTCCAGTACTCACTCTAAAATGCAACTGTTTGTGCAGTTAGAGCTGAAGCAAAATTAAGATACAGAGTTCAAGGAACAGTCTATTCCCTTTGCTAGCAGAGCAAAGAGTACATTTTCTCAGACTGAGGCGGCTAGTTACTACTATTCCATTAATAGCCACAATCGAGGAAAACTGTGTCAAGACTTTTGGTTTGTTCATCAAATGGCTCTGGCCTCTAAAGATGGGCTGTTTAAGATCAGTGAAGAAGTATTTATTCTTTTGTTTAGAATGTGGTTGTTTAAAAAACACTCCATTGATGGGTATGTATCTAATGGAGGCAGTTAACCAAGGCACTGGACTGACCGTGAACATGTCAACACTGAAGTCTAAACGGATGACCATTGAGAAACATTAGCTGCCAAGAGAAGAATACATCTGTGAAAAGCACACAGCTTCCCCCTCTGCATCCATCCACACTTGACTCCCTTCCTTAAGTTTCCCTTTCTTTACATCTCTGAAAAGATACTGTCTCTCCTTAAGCTCTCCATCTCATTTGGACTCGGGACAAGAAGCCATAAAAGGGTAAGGTTTGTTTAGGAGAATGCTCCAGGCACTCTGAAGGAGTTTGGAGCTAATCAACAATGAATGTCTAAATCTCCAGTCACTTAATTAGTTCCCTTACCATAGAGGGTTGAATAATCATTGCAGAGTCTTAGCTTATTGTGCTGGTTTACTAGTGTCCATGAAAACAGCATAGGCTATGGGAGGCAGGGGAGGGAGGGAGGGAGGGAGGAAGCAAGAGAAGAAGATGCAGAAGATGAGGAGGAAGGAGAGATCTTCCAGGGATGAGGACAGGGGAGCTGTGTTGTGATAGGAGAGAAGAGAAGAAAATAAAGACACAAGTTTTTACAAGTGCCTCTGCATTGGGCAGAAGCAGATACCTTAGAAAATGTTGCTCTTTGTGCCAGGCTTTGGTATCTGACAGAGCTCAATGGTTCAGTGTTTTCCCTCCTTGAAACATGCCCTGGTAACAAAATGTTCTAAGAAGCAGGGGACTTAATAGACTCAAGTGTTTCAGCTTTACAATGTCTCTGTCTTTTAACAAATTTTCCCGTTGAATGGCTTTAAAGTTGTTATCACTTCCCACACATTACCTTGCAGCTATCACTTCCCACACATTACCTTGCTTCCTGGCTCTAGAAGAGCTGTAATGAAGGCTGATCTCACCAGCAGGAGTGGGCAGGTGGGGGAGGGGCTGGCACACATGTGGGACTGAGGAGGTGTGTGCAGAGAAAGGGACTAGGGGCTTATTACCCTTTTGCCATCTCACTTTTGAATATGTACTCTCTCTTCTCAGGCATAACAAAGGTGACTCCTGTCTGTCATCCTAGCACTAACCCTAACCCTGACCCCTGACTCCAGGACTTAGCTGCTTTTTGCCCTCTCTACTATTGCCTAATTATCTTTCAACTTTCTAGAAAGCCTACTGAGAAAGTCTTAAAGAAATCCGTTTTACATTCTTTCCTAAAGTAACTAAACATCAAAACCCTTCTTTTGTGTGATAACTATAAATAACCCATGGTTTCAGTTTTCTTTGTGTCACACTTAAAGAGTTCTGTCATCACCTAACCCCTCTTTCCTTCCTCTACCACAGAGTTACTTATGTATACATTAAGTTCTTACTAAAACAAAGGAGAACAGAATGTAAGTCAATGTCTAGGCACAAACAACAGCGAATGTTTAGATTCTGTGTTTAGAACACAAAATCCAGGTTTGGGACATCTGGTATACCAGGTGTCTGTTTTACCATGGGTACCAATGATTCAGAGTCAGTTTGGCAATTGTGTCATGATCATACTGTCTTTATACTCTTCCACTCATTAATGTTTAAGATAGAATAGCTGTGCACCTTAGTTAATCAGGATTCATTTGCTCAGTCACAGAATTGCTACTGAGTTAGCAACAACATTATGGCACTGTGTTAGGAATTGGCAATATAAAGTATTCTGTTGCTGAAGGGGTCTTGTCTAAGAGAGAAACAGAATTTGGTGAAGATGCTCAAATTGAACTGTGAGGTCAGGAATGTCTAAGTAGCTAGTGCTGAGTGGGAAAGGGGCAGTAGATGGTTGTGTAGAACACACCAAGATTGCTGAATGCCAAGCTGTATTTTTGCGATGGGGAGAGAGGAAGATAGGAGAACATTCCAGGGACAGAGAAGGTCATATACTATACGGGGTTGACAGGCACAGGACAGAGGGAAAAGTTAATTCAGCAATAAACCCACTTGGAAATTTCATGGAACTATAGTATTTGGTAGTTTTCCTTAGAGAGATTTATTATTTATTATTATTCAGAAACTTGTCCAAAACCTCCTCCAAGAGGAGGAGATCTTTGGGCTAGGCACAAGTTTGTGTAGCTTGTAAGCCAGACATTCCAGCCCTGCTCTTTCTATTTCTTGGTGACAAGGCTTTGTGCACACAGGTGTGAACACCAACCACCTAACATTTGCATTCTAGGAAAGAAGAAAGAGGTGGTGTGGGGAAATAGTGAGGGGAGAATGTGGAAGTAAGGGGTAGGGCAACAAGGACAACAACACATCAGTTCTAACTTGTTCAACCTCCAGCATTCAGGTTTATAAATGCACAGCTGACCATGTCACCCCCAGACTGGCAATCCTTGGTGGCACCAAGCAAAACACCAAGGGCTTGGCAAAAGAAGATGCAGTATGTGTTCCTTCACACCCAAGATGTAACAAGGAGAAAAAGTTTTGAAAATAATTTGCCAGTTGTAATAAGTCTGAAGGTTTTACGTTGTTTCTTCTGTTACTTTCTTGGGATTGTGTGAGAAATCATGGACAGAACCCAAGTTCATAAAAAACATATGCATTGTAGCATCGTTTATAAAAGTAACCCCACTGTCACATTTCTTCTGGCCTGGGAATAATTAAACAAACAATATGGTGGCCACATGATGGAAATTTTTGCTGCCATTAAAATATTTACAAGCCATGTGTGGGAGATCCTGCTCATAATCTCAGCACCCAGGCGCCTGGGGGAGGAAGACTGTGGTAAATTCAAGGCCAGCCTAGACTACAGAGTGAGTTCCAGCCAGCCTGGGCTACTATGTGAGACTTTGTTTTAAAATCACAACACACATATTTAATACTAAGCACATTTTTATGATGATAATTTAACTTTATGTGATTAATTATTATGTCAAGATATAAGCTTATTTATGTAGCATGCTCTCAACCAGGTAAGATGATACACATTAAAAAAAAAAGGACAAAAACTCAGCAAAAGCTTGGCAACAGTGAGACCCAGATAATTAAATTAATGCTAATTTCTACTTCTTCTTTATGCTTTTCTGAGTGTTTCTTTAAGTGCATACCTGTGTTATAACCAAAAAGTAATGGTTAAGAAAACAAAAACAAAACAAAACCTGTTAGTTTCTACTCATGGCAAGAAAGACCAAGCATTAGTTCCAGAAAGTTCTCTTCCTTTAGTTTGATTTAGATGGTCCTCAAGTTCTTCCACACAGACACAGTCGATGAGAAGGGGATGGGGTTATGTCCACAGTTGGCAGGCTACAACTCCAGTTACTGTAGCACAAAGCTGGGTTGATGGGGAAAGAGATGAAGGAATGGCAGAAAAAAGGAGGCAAATAAGAGATGTGGGAAGTTCTAGCAAAGCTGTTTTGAGACGAGGGAGTAAAATGTGGATGAGGTGCTATGAGGGGTACTGGTCAGTGGAAGATTACCTGTGGCCTCAGTAATGTCCACTCAGCTGGAGTGGACAATGGTGATAAAAATTAAAGGGGAATCTGGCTATGTCTGTGGATCCCAAACTTGGTTGTATGTTAGCCTTACCTGGAGAGCTTTCAAAAGCAATGGTACCCAGGACACTATCTATCAGTTAAATTAAGATGCATGGGCATGTTAACCAGGCATCACATTTATTCTGAAACAGTCCTCAGTGATTCCAAAGGGCATCACAGTTTGCTATCTGGTGGGCTAAGTTTTTGAATCCACTGGCCAGTGGTTCCCAGAGCATGGCCTTAAACTAGCAGTCTTTCCATTACTTGGGAACTTGTTAGAAATGCACATCCTTGGGCCCCAGGTCTTCGAAATCAGACATTCTGGAGGTTGTGTCTAGCAGCCTGTGTTCTAACAAGCCCTCTGGAAGATTCCAGGACACACTCAAAGAGTTTGAGATGCTGAGCTTGAGGTAATAAAAGTGCCCATGGGAGTT